ATGGGGACTGGAAATTTAAAACCGTTCCTTCCCTTGATTAGGCTCTGTAACCTCATTCACGCTCAAACACAATCCAAGGCCCTCCTTACCCATCCTCGTTTCCCTGGCCTCCAGGGAATTTATCAGCTGGCTGGGCCCACAGGCGTGGGAAGCCGGAAGGTGCAGCTGCAGAGGCCCTTACCCTGCTTGCATGGGTGAGGGCTCGGCTGGTGGGTGGACCCTATGTTCAAAGAAGCTACAGAGCTGACAGCAGAAAGAAGAGCAGAAAAATCCCAAGGAATGGAGGAAGAGCCAGTTCTCAGAAGGGACCCCTGGATTTAGAGGACAGGGAGCAAACCTTGGTTTCTTCTCTGCTCCCCAAATTCAAAAGAGATCTGAGCTCCTCGTGCTGTACAGGGTTTAAGGTGGCTGAGGGACCCCTTCAGGTCTCTGATTCAAACAATGCACCCTCCCATTTTTTATTCTCAAGAAGCAGTTAAAACCTGGTACCCGCTGCAGGGGGAGAATTAAAATGAGGCTACTGATTTGGGGTGCAGCAAAAGCAGGCCGAGGGGGTGATCCGTTCTAGTAGATAGATCGGTCAAAAGCAAAGACTTTCTTTTCTACCAAATCCCCCAAATGTTTATTTTGGGCTCTTGCCCATCCAGATAAATCAAGCTAACAGATTAGGAAGTTCATAAAATTGTATTTTTAGGTAATGGTATCCAGAGAGGTAATAAATATTCTCTCTGCTCTGATGGCCACCGGGATTAGGGGATCCTCCATCTCTTTTTCTAAGCTTGAGAACAGTTTCTTGAAAGGGGAACATTTCAATTAGAATTAGCTCCCCAAAGCTGGGGTGCCATATAGAAGCTGTGGAAACCATGAGAACTGGCTTTGTGAGGGCATCGTCTCCCAGGACTGGGCAAAAAGCTGAGAAAAGGATGGTGAAATTGCCCCAGCCCGCTGCTCCTCCCTGTTATAGTGCCCTCAATCTCAAGGACTCCCTTGGTAGTCCCTGTCCTATAATCTTAGAGAAGCAGACAAACTGTTTAGCAAGGGCTCCCCTGCCCCAAGCTCTGGAGAACCACTTAATTGTTTAATCCTCCGTACCATTCCCCCAAATACACACAGACTGTGGGTTGCAACCCACAAAGTCCACACATGAAAAAAACAGATGCACAGATTGCAGGAAAAAACTTGGTAGGAAACTTCATACAAACAGCACTGAGAGGCCCTCAGAGAAACAAAGTTCCCCGGTCCTTTCCCCTAGGCTTACTTTGCCAGTTCTCTCCCCTTTTTGAGTCAAGTTTCTTCACTCCTCAAGTATACGGGTGCAGGAACTACATTTTCCCCAAGCAGAAGCCTTCCGTTCAAGATTAGATTTCCCACCTTCCCTCCCCAAGACTGGAGTTGTGATAAAAATTGAATGGCAAATAGAGAGAGAGTTGAAAGTGCTATACTTCTCACCCCCAGAGTAGATCCAGTGCTAACTACTTACATGTCAAGGGAATTTTTGACTTGTGGGGATCTCCTGGCGCTTGGAGAGAAGGACCTTGCAAGATTGGTGCCGCCGTGGTTTCACCCCGGTCTTCTTTCTACTTGGCCGTTAGTGAGAAAGATACAATGCGCTAGCAGGCATTCAGGCGCCTCTCCTCTCCCATTACTCTGGGCAAGAAATCGCCAGCCCCACAAAAGCAGTGGCATCCTATCTGGAGACCAGGGGCTGAGCCAGGGCTGGCTTGGGAGGGTCGGAGATGGGGGTGGGGGAGAGGTCAGAGGCGCTGCTGCCGAACATAAAGGCAATGGGAGAGAAAAAGCTGTGTCCTCCCCGTGAACCTGGGCTGCGTCCTCCCCACCCACCCCCCACCAGCCTTTTCCCCACTGCTCAACCCAACTTCAATAAAAGCCCCAGCCCTCGGCCGGGTCTTCCCAGTGAGGCTGTAGCAACACCGGGTGGAGAAACAGCAGCAAGGGACCAAACCTGCCAGAACTAAGGTCCCTGGCCCCCGTGGCCCCTCACACCCTTCTCCCCAACCCGTCCCAACAGGCTGATCCCATTCTGGGTGGTCAGGTCCAAGGCAAAGGAGAGCTTTGAGGAAAGAATGAGAATGGAGCCCACTGGAGGGAAGGCCAGAGGCCAAAATCTTCAAAAACTCAAATGTAAAGGGGTTTAGTTTTATTTTATTGGTCAAGAATTATGGATTTCTGATGTTTCAGACCAAGAGGGATAGAAACACAGAGAGAATGATTACGTGTACATGTGTGAGAGGAGGAAGGAGAAACCAGAGCCCCGAAAGAGGGGAAATAAAAGTGTCCCAATCCTTTTAAGCTACTTTTCCTTCAACAAGTTCAGGGAGAAGCTTAAGAAATAAGACAGTGATTTTTCCCCTCTTTGCTTTTATCTCTTCCACTTGGAGGAGGAGAAGGAATAAATTCCCCTAAAACCAAAGGAGCAAAGTTAGGAAAGGACTATGGATTTTAATTTTATTTTTTTGCCCTTCTCTTCCCATATTAACTTCCTTACAGGCTTGGAAAGACAGCCAGGTCCACCCTTCAGACCCTCTTTCCCCTCTCCCAAACACAGCTAGACCCTCTCTTCCTGCCCCAAAGTCAACTGCCTCAAAATGACAGCAACTACAGTGAGATTTGGTCCCTAATTCACTTGATTACATAAAATAACTCTAGATAATTGTTGGCCCTTCTTCCTCGCACTGTAGGCGGCATGTTTTGCTGTCTCCAGGGCACCATTGACGAAGGAGAAAGTAGACCTACAGGACCAAGTTGTTCCCCTCAACACACATACACACACACACCCCCACTCCAAGAACCAGCCAGCAAGTGGTGCAAGAGGAAATAAATCTAGATCGCACCAAACTGACTTGCACAACTTAGTCCCCTTGTTGCCTTTCACTACAGAATTTGGGGAGAGAGGAAAGGAGTATCCTTGGCTCCCCTGTACACCCCAGATCTCTTCTCCTTCTTTCTTCTACTTCCGATAGATCTCCACCCTAAAATTTGGATAAATTGCCTGAGAAGCTCACCAACTGCCTCTCCCACCTTCTCCCAACAAACAAGCGAAAAAATGAGCAGGTCTTGCTTAGAGCTTGGTCTTCAGGACCAAAATTATTTGGGAACCTTTGGCTTATATGAATTGCTCAGGTAATCCAGACCAGTTTTTTCTTCCTTTCTTTCTTTTCTTTCTTTCTTTCTTTCTTTCTTTCTTTCTTTCTTTCTTTCTTTCTTTCTTTCTTTCTTTCTTCCTTCCTTCCTTCCTTCCTTCCTTCCTTCCTTCCTTCCTTCCTTCCTTCCTTCCTTCCTTCCTCTTTCTTTCTCTCTTTTTCTCTCTCTTTCTTTCTTTTTTCCCCCAAGGAAATAATATTAAAACAAAAATTTTACAGCCAGAGAGCCTTGTTCCAGCCTTCCCTCAGCCTTGCCGGGACCTGGGAGATTGCAGGAAGAGAGGTAGCCCCTGTCTCTCCCTGTATCTTTTCTCAACACCTGGAAGGTCCATTGTAAAAGTTAGGGGGGAAAAATAGAAGTTCTTCATTATCTCCAGGCATCAGGCTTTGAGGCCTACCAATGCAAGGGGGCCTCACAGGCCTCTGGCCTCTACTTCACCCTTCTTTCCAAGTCTAAACAAACAGAGAAGCCATCCTGACAGGTCACTTTGCTGCTTCAGAATCACTAGCTCGAATCTTTCTTCTTTTAAGGAGAACACACATTGAGGGGGCATCTTTCTTAATCCCTCATCCCCAAAGAGCCCTAAAAAATGAAAACTCTTCTCCCTCCTACTATCTAAACTTGCCTTCTTGTCTGCAAGTGAAGCAGGCCTACTCAGCAGAGAGAAGGGAGAAAGTAGGGGAGGGAAACAGAAAGAAGGAAGAACTGTGCCTAACTATAGAAAAGTGAGACGCTCCCCCCCCCCCCCCCCCGCCTCCACTGTAAGTACCCCCAGGAGAATCTGGCCTCTTTGCAGACTCAGAGGGAAGGGACAGGAGAAATCAGCCCTAATCTTCCACATCCCCTCTTGTGAGCATCCGCTCTCCCAACCCCCTTACTGGTTCTTCTAAGGACATTGGAAAGCTAAGTTGAGAGTTAAGATTTGTGTGTTTGCTTAGAGTAAACTTAGGCAACTATAGAGAAGGTGGGATGTTACCAGGCCAGGAGGATGGGGATAAAAAAGAAACCATCAGACATTGACGTAAAACTAATTCACATCCACTGGTTTATTATTGATCACGGGGCATTTCACATCGACACTAAAATTCTTTATTGCAAGTTTTACAATAATCAAGTAAATTCAGTCCAAAAACACAATAACCACGATGGGGGTTGGGGGGAGAGATTCTACCTATAGACTGCCTCTCTGAACTGAAAGTTCATTTTTATTTTCTTTTGGCTCCTCAAACTGAACAGCTCTGAGAGGCTCTCCAGATGCATTTAGCTTTGTCTGCTGTCTTCTCCCATCTCCTCCCAGCCTCCCCCCACAACAATAATACAAAAGAACTTCATAGCTTTGTTCTCCTTAAAATGACTTCCCTCTCACTAACCTCCCCTGGTGCATTTTCAATGCAAAAGGCCTAAGGAAAGAGGAGGGGAAAGAAGGAGGAGGAGGAGAAGGAGGAGAATTGGCTTAAAAATCTCTTTCCTTTTTTCTTTTCCTCATTTCCCCTGAAATCCACCTAAACCAGACCATCACACCTTGCAATATATAATTTTTGCAGTTTTTTTCTTAAAAAATAAATAACCCCCCAAAATGGCCTTAAAAAAAAACCCCAGCAGGTACCATGCTAAGACAACATCACATGCTTAAAAGGGTCCTTAACAGTGGAAGGGAGAGAAGGGCAGGGGGCTTGTTTGTTTTTTCTGTTTTGTCTGTTTGGAATTGACAAGGGATACGGTGGGAAGAAGAGAGAAAAGAACCAAAATATATATATATTAAATTCTATAAATAAGAGTCAATTTGTATGTGAGGGGAGGATGGGGGCATGGGATGGGGGCAGGGTGTGAGTTATGTTTTATAACCTGGTAATGTCCTCTGCCCGTTGCTGCTCCTGCGGCGTGGCGCTCTGGGAGTGGTCTTCAGAAGTGCCCGGGGTGGCTGCCGAGAGGGTGCTGGGCGCAGCGCCGGCCGGGGGCGCTGACCTGACTTTGGTGTTGGGGAGTCGGTGGTCCTTCTTCCATTTCATGCGACGGTTTTGGAACCAGATTTTGATCTGCCTCTCAGAGAGGCACAGCGAGTGGGCGATCTCGATCCTTCTCCTTCGGGTCAGGTAGCGATTGTAATGAAACTCTTTCTCTAATTCCAGGACTTGCTGCCGGGTGTAGGCTGTCCTCGAGCGCTTGGGTTCCCCTCCGTTATAATTGGGGTTCACTGGGGGTGGGGAGGGGAAAAGCAAATAGTGGGGTTCAGAGGCAGCAGGCTCCCCTCCCCCCACCCTCACCCCAACCTCAGCTCTGTGGAACAGGAGGAGGGGGTGGTGGAAATAAAGTCATCAAGCTAAATGGGTTATAAAGAAGTTGAAGGAAGCTGGAGACTTTGTAGTGTAATAAGAGGGGAATCCTCATTGTAACGACACTGAATTATTTATGCGCCCTTAGAAAGCGAGCATAGTTTTCACACATACATAACAGATCGTAGCACATGGCTCGGACTGCCCAGAGTAGCTAAGCCATAAAATTTATGGGGGATGTAATTACCCATTCTCGCTCGTAAATCCAGTTCAATTGTGCTAACCCAGAGTCGCTCCTGGAGAGAGAGGGGGAAGGAGAGAAAGGAGGACGGGGGCCAGAGGGGGCCAGGGAGGGTGGGGAGCGCTGGGGAAGAGGGGAGGGAGGGGGAGAGCAAAAAGCAAAGTTGCCTACCCGTGCTAACGTGGATTTTTTTCATCCATGGGTAGACTATGGGTTGCTTGCTGGCGGCGCTGGAGGGATGGTCAGGGGCTGGCTGGCTGCAGGCTGGCGGGGCTGGGGACGGGGAGGCGGAGGCGCCTGAGAGAGGCGCCGGCTCGCAGAGCGGCTGTGATTTCTCAGGGTGGTGGTGGCCCGCCTGGGCCGGCCCGTGGGCTCGCGAATTGCCTGGCCCCTGGAGACTGGTGCAGCTATACTGGCGCTCGGGGTAGCTAGGACGCGGAGGCGGTGGTGGGTACAGCTCCTGGTGGTGATGCTGGAATCCCGATTCCCTGGTCCGGCCGTAATATTCCGGACTGTGTTCAGGGATGTAGCTATTTTGCGAATATTCTTCGCATGGAGGAAATTTCGGATCGATGTAGTTAGAGTCCATCAAATACGAGCTCATGATCATTAATTTCTGGAGTGGAAAATAATTTTTCTCGCTTTGTCGTTTTTCTGCTCCATAAAGCCCTCCTACTAGCTAGCGACCCTGTAAAGTTACTTTCACCATGTGACTCTGCCGGCCAATCACACGGAGCAACCCAGTCCCCGGATAAGGAACCGAATCGCTTTATTCAAAATGTATCCAATTTTTTTGTGTGTGTGTGGTGGTGGTGGTGGTGGTGATGTGGGGTTAGCTGTCAGGGGCTAGGGTGCCCCAGTGCACACCCCACAGACTGACAGCCCTCCCCTGTAAAAGGAGATGGTAAGCCCCCAGATCCCCTCCAAAGCCTGGGCATGGAGGGGCTACCGGGAGGCTGTGATTCAGCCGTCTTGCAAAGTCTCCCCTTGGGCCTCCAGTGGGCCCCTTGGGCCTCAGCTCCTTAGCTTCTCCGAAGGTCTCCATTCATGGCGATCCTGTCTCAGTCTGTGTAGGTCACCGGGCAGCGCCCCTCTTTCTCAGGAAGAGGAAGTTGAATGAGGACTGGAGTGGAGGTTGGATGGGGAGGGGCCCAGGCTGAGCCCTGGAGGCTGAAGAGCCTGGAGTGCCCCCCATCCAACAATACCAGAGTCCAGCCCCCTTGCCATACACACTCACCCAACCCTCTGGCCATGGGGCCGCCAGGCAGGGTCCCAGCTGGACCAGGCAGGTAGAGGCAGCGGGATGCAAATGATTCTGACGTCATTTCTGGAGGTCTGGGGGTTGAGCCCCCCCTGAAGAGAGACAGGAAGTGGTTGGCAAAAGCAGAGTTCAGAAGCCTTGCCCTCCCCTACTACCCACTGACCCTCCCTGCCCCAGCCCAGGAACAGAGGATCTCTTCTACTGCTGGTTGCTTTTTCCACTCTCCATGCCTTCTGGCCTGCTGCTTTCTGACAACTACCTCCAAGGCTGCTTCCTAAGGAGCTGGGGCAAGGAGGAGAGCGATCTGCCAGGAGTCAGTGCCCTGCCGTGGTGTCCAGCCAAGGCCTTGGGAGCTCTTCCTTCTCTGTTCCCACAGAGGGCAGACCTAGCTAAGAGGGAGGCCTGTGTTGGTAGAGCCTGCTTCAGGCCAGGGATTGTATCCATGTAACACATGTATTTACATGTAAACACATATTCCCAAGGGCCAGCTCCAGGCTGCCTTCCAAAAGCTGAAGGGTGAGCTCACTTAGCTGAGGAGGCTGGGCACACCTGGGGGGGGGGGTCTCCGGTCCATTTCTGCCCCCTTCCCTCTCTCTGCCACCCACCCACAGGAATACCATGGTGGCGGGGTGTCAGGGCCATAGAGTGGGGAGAGGGCAAGAAGGGCTGCTTTTCAACCCCCCCTCAGATAGGGGTGGCCACGTCACACCACCATTTCCAATTAACTGATCCCATAACTCAGAGTTGGGGGGGGTGGTAGCAGAAGGGAGAGCCCAGGGAGGGAGCCGGGTCCCCTTGTTGTACTTGATAACAATTATAGTTTAAAATCATAGCTTGCCGGGGCTCGGCTATATTTTACTTGATAACAATAAAAGTGACACATAAAGTTAACTGTTTATGTTTTATTTATTAGACTAAATCTGCCAGCGGTGGTAGGAGCGCTTGCCTCGTCGCTACAGCTTTTATAGGGCTGTAAAACGTCATAAATCAGTCTCGCGGAATCGCCCGCACTCTTTGTGTCGGCGGCGGCGCAGGGCTGGCGGCCGCTGGCTGCCTGCTCCCTCCTTTCCACGAAAAGTCGTAATGTGATTTTTTTCCCTCTGATTTTATTATTATGATCGCCGCCGTGATTAGTCAATCTACCTTTAATTCGCCGCCCTACGCTGCCTCCTCCCAGCCCAGCCTGGTTGACACTTGAATAAGTACCTTTTAAAACGGCATAACAACTATTTGAGGGTTTAATTAGAACATCTGCAATTAAGGGAATGAGGAGGGGAAAGAAAAAAATAAAGCCCTTGTGAGAGGGAGACTGAAAGCTAGAGATTCTCAACCTGTCTCTCACCACCTTTGGGATGCAAGAGAGGGTCCCCACTTCCAAATTAGGGCTCACCCTGAGGGCAGGAATGAGAGAGACACTGGGCCACAGCTGGCGCCCAAAGGGGCTGATTCTCTGCCTGGGCCCCTGACTGCCTTCTCTCTTCCAAAGCTCAGGTCTCCTACCCTCACCCCTGGTGCCGGGAGAGGTCCATGGATACCCTCTCCCCAAGAGGACAGTGCCTTGCCCTACTGCCGCCAGGCAGGTGAGGGAACAGGAATTCCCAGGAGTAGATTACCCATCCCTTGGAGGAGGCTCCCAAATTCCCATGGTTGGTTGGGACCCCCTCCATGTGAGGATTGGCTGATTTGGTTGGAAGAGGAATTTGAGACATTGAGGAGGGGAAGGCTGCTGCTTGGTTGACAGTGGTTTGGAGTGTGTGAGGGTTTTATTTTTTGTAATTATTGGTGGTGGGATGAGGGCAGGAAGAGGGCAAAGGGAAATTAACACTGAATACTGACCTACATAAAAATCCGAACCACTGCCCCAGACTGCCCCAAGGGGAAGAGCCAAAACTGCGGGAATCTCAGGTAGGGTAGGGGTGGGGGAGGGTGGCTGAAGGAAGAGAAAACTTTCCAGCCCCACCCCCAACCTCCCTTCAGACCAGCACCTGGATCAGGCTGCCCCACCCCATCAGACTTCCTGCCCAGCAGGCTGGCCCAGATATTCTTTTCTCCACCTGGCGTGGTGAGGTTTTGGCCTGGCTACCCTCCTCCCAGCCCTCACACTCACCTTCCACCAGCCCTGCCTCCACCTCAATGCTCATTTCTTCAATCTTTTCACATTCTTGGACTTGCTAAGGAGTTCTTCCCAAGGCACTGCCCATCCTACATGCTTACTCCCCAGGATTCTGGGCTCCTGCAGGTGGCTCGGGGAAGCAGGAGCAGGAAACTCACTTCAGGCCAGTATGTGTAAGTAGATACAGAGAGTTCAGATGCCTCCAACTGAATGTCAAGTCTCTTTGGTTATTACAGCTAACAAATATATATGCATACATACTATTAATATTTATTAATGTATTAATTCCACCTTATGCGGCCACAAATATGTGGGGTTCCCATTCTAGTTTTGCACAGCTAATTCAACATGCACATCCATAAAGCAAAATCTGGGAGATTCCCCCAGATATGTCCATGCTCATCTACATCATTTACCAAAAAACTCTCTTTGGGCTCCTACAGCTTAATAGCAGGGAAGTCGCCTATCACATGGGGAAAATAGCAAGCCAGACTGCACCACATGCATATATACAAACATTTTCACTTACTACCAGTACAAAAATCAAACCCTTTCAGAAGGCTCCTGCACTTAGCGTGGGCTTAATGGGGAGGGGGACACTAAAGCGGCTCTTGCTTGTGATGAAGCCTAGTATCTGGTCCTGCCTCCTTTTGTGCTTTGCCCTCCTGCCTTGCCAACCCAAGTATCTCTCCACGCCATCTCTGCCCTCCATCTCTCTCTGTTCCCATTTTATTTTTTATTTTTTTCTGACCACTTTTTGCCAGGGTCCAAACGCTCTCCGAATGCCCCTGACCCCAGACCCCATCTCCTTTCTAAATCTCGAATCAGTTTCTCTTTCGGAAACATGTTTCAGTACAAAGCGCTTCCCTTCTGACACCACTGAAGAAAAATATGTGTCCATTGTGTGCGAGGCCTTATTGTGCCGGGATTACCATACTGACCGTTGGATAACCCATATTCCTCCCCTCCCCAGTAACAAGCTGCCGGCTGAGAGACCTTAGCGGCTCACAGATTCTGTGCTGCATTAAAATCCACCTTTCAGACTCCCTGAATTTTCCTAGAGAGAAAAATAAATGGGAGAACCAACATAGGATTTGGAAGGCAAAGAGAAGGAAAATGAGAGTCATTCCTTTCCCTGTTCTCAGAAGTGCAGGATTTTTTTTTTTTTTTTGGTATATGTATGTGGGTTTTGTTATTTTAGAGATTAAAAATTGCAACATGTCTCTTTCCTCCTCCTTAAATGAATTGACTTTTAGATGATATGCAATCAAATAATTCATTTCATTTTTATTTTTTTCTCCAAGCAACTTGAAAACCCCAAACTAGAGCAAGACTCTTACCCCATTTTTTTCTGTGTGTGTGTATGGATGTACATATGTGTGTGTTGTCCCTTTCTAATGCCAGCAGGCAGGGTTAATGTATGCAAAAGAATATGCAAATGCTTAATTGATTTTTTCTTAAATCTCTTGTCAGTAAAAGTAATGAATTGGTCTAAAATGATTTTAATAATCCGGACGTGTCACCAGAAAATACTCAACCTTTTTTTTCTCCTGGAATCGCTTATGGTCTCACAAAAAAAAGAAGAAGAAGAAGAAGAAGAAGAAGAAGAAGAAGAAAAAGCAATCATGGAATGTTAATTTGCCTCCCTTTAAAATATTAAAGATAAATTTCCCTTGTTTGTTCGAGGACCATAGGCAAAGTCTTCTCCTGGATTTCCCCCTCCTTGCCTTGCCTTCCTTGGAATTCAATTTTCCTCAAATCTCGTTTAAAGTGGCTTTTTAAAAAGTGGCCGCATTTTAATATTGGTTAGACAGAGTGACCTGCATTTCACCTCGGGTGTTTGACTTGTTCCAATAGGTCACTGCCATGGGGTTATTGATGGGGAAACTCCATTGAAATTTGTCTCTTCGCAAATGGCCTTTAGATCTTCCAGCGAGTTCAATAACTAGTTATAATGTGGAAGGGGAAAAATGAAGGCCCTGGGCTAACGAATTTGATGTTTCATTTTTATGCTGGAGAAATTGTTAGTTAGAGGGTGGGTTCCCCACCCCCTTCCTTGCTCATCCTGGCCCCACTGACCCCACTCCTGTCCAAGGCTGCTGGATTATAACCCCTGTAACACTTGGGCTGGGGTGTCCCTTTCTCCCTTTGATGCAAGCTTTAATTCTTATTATGAACATAGTTGACATTCAAAATTATTACTTAAAGGTGCAGGAAGCTTGTGCTGCTGGAGATT